TTCCCAATCTCTTTTGGGCCCCAGGAACTTGCCTTTAATGAAAAACTCCACACAGCCCTTTCCCTTTGGCATTGCCCAAGTAGTATGTATACTTTTACTATAATTTATGTGAAGGACACTTAAGTTTCCAATGTCATGCAGTTACAGATAGCATTGACAACTAAATTTATGAATTAACTTTGGGAGAGTTGATATCTTTATGGTGTTGAATGCTGATTACTTTTAAGGAAGTTTTATTAATTTCAAGGGCAGATGGTAATTACCCATTAGTCTAATATCTTATAGCAAAATAGAGACACTTAGGTGCTTGATTAAAAAAAAAGAATTAGCGCCCTGGCCAGTTTGGCTCAGCGATTAGAGCGTTGGCCTGCGGTCCGGAGAGACCCGGGTTCGGTTCCCGCTAAGGGCACGTACTTCGGTTGCAGTTTGTCCCCGGCCCTGGTTGGTCGTGCGGGTGGCAGCCACTCGATGTGTCCCTTCACGTCGATGTTTCTCTCTCTCTCTCCCTTCCTTTCTCCCTCCCCCCCACTCTATCTGTACAAAAAATGGAAAAATGTCCTTGGGTGAGGATAAAAAAAAAAAAAAGAATTAGTAAATACAAACTGTTTTCTTTTAAATTATTTTTATTAATTTGTTTTTGTTACAGATGTTTCTCCTTTCCCCCACATTGACACCCTTCTCCCCATCCCCCTGCCCCATCCCCAGCTTTGTTGTCTATGTTCATTGGTTATGCATACATGCATATAAGTTCTGTGGTTTATCTCTCCCCGCCCAACACCCCCTCTTCTGAGGGTTGTCAGTCTGCCCCCTACCTCTATGCCTCTGGGTCAGTTTTGTTCATCAGTTTGTTTATTTTTTTTAAATTAAATTAAATTTTTTTTTGTTATAGATGTTTCTCCTTTTTTTCCCCATTGACACCCTCCTCCCCATCCCCCCACCCCCACCCCGTCCGTGGCTTTGTCATCCATGTCCATTGGTTATGCGTACATGCATATAAGTTCTGTGGTTTATCTCTTCTCTCCACCCACCACCCCGTCTTCTGAGGGTTGTCAGTCTGTACCCTACTTCCATGTCTCTGGGTCTACCCAATTCCTCAGACTGTTATGTTCATTATATTCTACAAATAAGTGAGATCATGTGGTATTTGTCTTTCTCTGCTTGGCTTGTTTTGCTTAGCATAATACTCTCCAGGTCCCTTCATGTCATTTCAAAGGATAAGAGATCTTTCTTTCTTACAGCTGCATAATATTCCATTGTGTACATGTACCACAGCTTTTTTATCCATTTGTCTACTGATGGACACTTGGGTTGTTTCCAGATCTTAGCTATTGTAAATAATGCTTCTATGAACATAAGGGTACATATATTCTTTCTGATTGGTGTTACAGCTTCTTAGGGTATATTCCTAGAAGTGGGATCACTGGGTCAAATGGCAGTTCAATTTTAAAATTTTTGAGGTAACACCATATTGTTTTCCATAGTGGCTGCACCAGTCTGCATTCCCACCAGCAGTGTACTAGAGTCCCCTTTTCTCCACACCCTCGCCAACACTTGTTTGACGATTTGTTGATGGCAGTCATTCTGACAGGTGTAAAGTGATAGTGTAAAGTGATACCTCAATGGTTGTTTTAGTAGTTCTTTTTTTTTTTTAATTTTTAAATTTTATTTATTTTTTTATCCTCACCCAAGGATATTTTTGCATTTCTCTTCAGATAGAGTGAGAGGGAGAGAGGGAGGAAGAGAGAGAGAGAAACTTCGATGTGAGAGAGACACATTGACTGGCTGCCACCCACACAACCCCAATTGGGGCTGGGGACAAATTGCAACTGAGGTACGTGCCCCTAGTGGGAACTGAACCCGGGACTCTGGTCCGCAAGCCGAGGCTCTCACCGCTGAGCCAAACCGACCTGGGCGACCTCGGCGACCTCATGGTTGTTTTAAACAAACTGTTTTCTTAAGTAAGATTAGCTTCCCACTTCATTTACAATGAGTAATTTTCTAAGCAAAGATGTTTTGATCAATACATTTCACCTAGCTCACAATCTTTGAAGTATGTTGAAATGATTAAATGAGAAAATGAACGTGAAAGTGCTTAAACTGTAAAGCAAGGTTCAACACAGGTGTTAGCAGAATACTCACAGCGATGAAGACAATGCTGAATAAGGTGTTTTAGGTACAGCACAGCAACAGGTGTACCCTGGGCGGGAGAAGTTGAGGAATGGGGACCTCTGCTGTGTCAAGAACAGGCCCATCTGGAATCTGCCTGAGAGCAGAACCACTTCGATGGAATTCCCTAACAGAGCTCTTCTAGCTAGTGGTTATTCCTGCAGGCTGGAAGTGCTTCCCGAGAAAGTGCCAGGGAAGGAAAAAGTACCTAAATGCCTGAGCCTGTTGCCTGGGACGAGTGATCTACCATGCACGCCACGTGCTCACAGGTGGCACAGTGTGTGCACACCAAAGGCAGAGTGTGACTCTGAGGCTCCAGGTGACATCCAGCAGCCAGTGTGTGTGGGCTTGTAATGTGCAGAGGTGAGGGTTCAAGCACGATTCTTTCAAACCATGATCTTAGCCTTCTGAGGTCTTTTGAGCCACAGCTACTCAGGCTTGTCTTCTTAGACTGCTATTCCTGCCCAACCCTACCGTAGGGAATAGGCTGAGGCTGATTTCAGATCCCTTTTCTTCTGGCAGGGGCACCTTTTCTGGAAAAACAGAGCTGGTTTCTGTTCGTCCTGAGGACCCAAACTTTGGGCTCCATGCTCTTCTCTTGACTACTCATCCCAAAGAGGTCATGAGAATAGTAATTTGTGTGTTCTCCATCTCCTTCATTGCTAGAAGAAAGACAATTCCTGTCTGCTTTTTTTGCTATCAGAGCCAGCACCGGAGAGAGAATTCAACTTTGAAACTGTAGCCAGCACCCCCAGCCTGTGGTGTCCTGATAGCCACCATACTTTAAGTTGATTCCATTTTGCTTGTTATTTATCTACGTGAGGTTGTATGAGAAGTGAGAAGTGGTGGCCATGGACCAGCTTGGCAGCCATCCCTGAGGGTTTGGGGAGGTTGCCAACATCAGAACTTCACAGTGTTATCAGTGGGGAGCTCTCCATGTCCCCACCAGTTGCCGGTGGCTGTGGGCTTCTTGTGATGTCACGAGAAAAGGAATTTTTTGAGGTTCCCATGGGAAAATGAGTGGTATTTATTTTCATGGAATTAAACCCCTGAGTTTCCAAGTTCCCTTCTGCCTCCGTCCCGCCATGGAAGAAGTCCCGCTGTGTCTTCAGCAGAGCTGGGATTGAAGCTGTCGCCCAGAGTTTGGGTTCCCTATTTGCCCAGCCCACTCCAGCACCAGGCTAGCTTCGTTTGTGTTCCCAGCTGTAATCCATTGCGTGTGGGGTCACATGGCTGTGGGCCATGCAGCTTCCAGGGCCACATGGCTATGGAGGGAACACGGGCAAGTGCCAGGAAACAAGGAGCAGGAGAGAGGAGAAGGAACAGGCTAGACCAGCAGTTCTCACAATGTGATCTGCAAATCTCTGGGGTCTGCAAGGCCAAACCATTGCCATGTAACACCGAGACTTCAGCTGCCTGTTTTCTCTCATTCTCTCATGAACGTATAACGGAATTTTCCAGGAGCTAGATGATGTGTAATGGATTGAAGGCAGACATGAGAAACTAGCTGTCTTCTATTAATCTAAGTTTGAAATGTAAAACAGTCATTCTTCTCACTAATTTTGTTTTGAAAACTATAGCTGTATGTTATTATTGTTATGTTTAAATAAATTAATAAATATAGTAAATATTTTACATTTTTATTTCTAATATAAAAATATTGATAGATACAACTCATATAAAGAAAAGCCCCTTGGAGTCCTCAAAGTTTTTAAGAACATAAAGTCTCCTGACACCTAAAACTTTGAGAACCGTTACGCTAAGGGATGCTCAGAAGCACCCTCCAGTGAGGGAGCATCAGGACCAGATGGGCAGCAAGTCTGCAAATAGGAAGAAAGACCAAGGTCACGTGTGTCGACAGTGTCATTTTGCCTCAGTGTGATCTGATAGGACCTATTTTCTACTTCTTTGATAATGGTTTTATGGTATTGGTCTCTTCTGTTTGAACTGATTCTGTTTTAAATCTAAACCCCCCAAAGGGGCTGCTCTCTCTCTCTTTTTTTTCATCCTCACCCGAGGACATTTTTCCATTTTTTTTTCAGATAGAGCAGGAAGGAGAGAGAGGAAGAGAGAGAAACATCGATGTGAAAGGGACACATCGAGTGGCCACCACCCACACGACCCAACCAGGGCCGGGGACAAACTGCAGCCAAGGTACATGCCCTTAGCGGGAACCGAACCCTGGTCTCTGTGGACTGCAGGCTGACGCTCCAACTGCTGAGCCAAACTGGCCAGGGCGGGGCTGCTCTGACTCTTAATTCCAGGGGTTTGAAGTTTGTGGGTCAGTCCAAATTTTATATATTCCATCCTGCTGTCCTGCGGGCACATTTGTCCTTGTGAGACAGTTTTTATTTCAGAAACTATGTCACTGATGGTTTAAGTCTGTAGATTTGGAGACCCTACAGTTATGTTTAAAATTATGAATAAACTTTGTTTTGAATAATTTTAGATTTACAAAAAAGTTGCAAAGACAGTATAGAGTATTCCTGTGTGGCGCTCACCCAGTTTTTCTTGTTGTTGATATCTTCCATCACTATGGCATATTTGTTAAAACCAAGAAACAGACAGTACATTATTATTAACTAAACTCTAGACTTTATATAGATTTCACTAGGTTTTTCACAAATGCCCCCTTCCTGTTCCAGGACCCAGTTAGTCCAGAGTACCACACAGCATTAAGTTGTCATGTTATCCCAGGATCCTCTGGTCTGTGGCTGTTTCTCAGTCATTCCTTACTTTTTTTTTTATGACCTTGACAGTCTTTAGGCATATTGGCCGGGCAGCCTGTAGAATATGCCCAGTCTGGGATTATCTGTTGTTTTTCTTGTGATTAGACTGAGGGCATGGTTTTTGGAATGAAGGCTGCAGAGGTGAAGTGCTTGTCCATCACATCGTGTGAGCGGTACACGGTGTCCACACAGCACCCCTGGATGTTAACCTTCGATATTTGACAAACTCATTCAATAATGTTTGCCAGGTTTCCCACCTGCACAGTTACTGTTTTTTCCCATTTCTACTATATTCTTGGGACACTAGTCATGAGGTCTAGCCTACCCTCAAAGAGTAAACAGTGGGTATTAAGCTCCATCTCCGGTACAGGGGAATATCTACAGATATTAGTTGGAATTCTAAGAAAGATTTGTCTCTTCTCTCATTTTTAAAAATTTTGTTCAATCATTTATTTATATCAGTATGATGTTTTTGTCAGGATTCTCTGGAGAAACAGAAGCAATAGGACATAAGTATTTATTTATAGATATAGATATAGATATATGTACATAGATATTGGTAAGAGATTTATTACAGCGATTGGTTCACGTGATTATGGAGGTGAGCAGTCCCACAATGTGCCATCTACAAGCACGGGACCCAGGAAAGCCAGTGGTGTAATTCAGTCCAAGTCCAAGAGCCTGAGAATCAAAGGGCCGATGGTGTAAGTTCCAGTCTGCGTCTGAAAATCCAAGAACCTGGAGCAACTATGTCCGAGGGCAGGAGAAGATGGATAGCGTAGCCCAAGCAGTGAGAGTGTATTTGTTCTTCCTCGGCCTTTTTGTTCTATTCGGGTTCTCAACAGATTCTTTACTCAGTCTACTGGTTCAAATGCTGATCTGCAGAGACACTCTCACAGACACACCTGGAAATCATGTTTTACCAGCTCTCTGGGTATCCCTCAGCCCAGACAAGTTGACATAAAATTAATTATCACAGTATGTATTCACATATTCATTGCGTTCTTTTGGGTATACTATGCCATTTATTTTGTTCAAATTGTTTCAGCTTTGGCCAACTGGAGCTCTTTCAGATTGGTTCCTGTGTCCCTTTGATGTGCCCCAACTTTTTTTTTTAATCTTCACCCGAGGACATTTTTCCATTTTTTGTTCAGGTAGAGAGAGAGAGACAGAGAGAGCGAGAGAAACATTGACGTGAAAGGGACACATCAAGTGGCCGCCTCCCACACGACCCAACCAGGGCTGGGGACAAACTGCAACCGAGGTACGCACGTAGTGCCCTCAGCGGGAACCAAACCTGGGTCTCTCTGGACCACAGGCCGACGCTCTAACTGCTGAGCCAAACCGGCCAGGGCCCAACTTTTTTTTTAATCCTCACCCGAGGATATTTTTATATTTATCTTCAGAGTGGGAGGGGGGAGAGAGAGAGAGAGAGAGAAACATTGATGTGAGAGAAACACATCGATTGGTTGCCACCCACATGACCCCACTGGGGCCAGGGACTAACTGCAACCAAGGTATGTGACCTTGGCCAGAATTGAACTCGGGACCCTTTGGTCCGCAGGCTTACGCTCTAACCGCTGAGCCAAACCAGCCAGGGCTGACGTGCCCCAACTTTTATATTTTGAGCACTTCCTTACTGTCTGCTATTACAAGATGCTCCAGGTTTATTTTGTATTCTCCCTCTCCTGGTCTTAGAATCAGCCATTTTTCTGGTTTCTTTTATTAGAGAATGATATTTAAAAATCAAGATCTGGGCACTGGGTGTGCTTGTTGCTATTGGGATATCATTGCTTCTAGGCCCTCTCAACAGAGCTATGTGTTATGTATATATACTAACCTATGTATGTGAACATATCTATAACTATTCTGTATTTACCCATCTGTATATATATTAAGCTAAACATGGTAGAGACCATTCATATTTGCTTATGTTCTTTTTCTTAGTCCATAGGCCAGATATAATAACTTGCTTTTCTTCTCTTTTCAGATACCAGATATTTCTTTATTTCACTTGTGCCTTCCAGAACATTTCTTGTGGGATCCACTACTTGGCTTCTGTGTTTATGACAGTGTTCCCGAAGTATACCTGCAGGCCCCCAGGCAATGTGAGTCGGGTTCTTTTCCACAATGTCTCTAATTGGAGGTTGGACGACATCTGGAATCTGTTACCACTAAGTCATGAAGATCACGTTGTAGTGCAGCTACAGAATGGTGAGATCTGGGAGCTCAACAGGTGTTACAGGTTCCGGAGAGATAACATGTCGACTTTGAACTACGATTACAACGGCCATAAAAGTGGCTCTCCTTGCTTAGATGGCTACATCTATGACAAGAGCAAATGGGACAGCACTGTGGTGACTCACTGGGACCTGGTCTGTAACCGAGAATGGTTTGCAAGGCTGATCCAGCCCACATTTATGCTTGGAGTCCTGCTGGGAGCGCTGATTTTTGGCTACCTTTCTGACAGGTAAAATGAAATATTTAGTATTGTTGCTTGATGTAGGGTTTATTATCATATCTAGTTTTCTTAGGGGACAGGGAATTATGTTAAAAACTTTAGTCATTTTCACGCTTCCTATTTAAATAGTTACTTCTTTGCTGATCTATTAAATAACATTCACAAAATAACATAGTGGTAAGAGGATGGGTTCTAGACAGTCTGCCTGTGTTCAAATCCTGGTTCTACTTATTAGCTGTGGCCCCCAGGCAAATTGCCTAACCTATGTTTTAGAATCTTGTTTGTAAGCTGGTGATGAAAATAATAGCACTCACCTCAAAGGATTATTGTAGAATTAATACAGAAAAAGTACCTTGGACACATAACCACTCAACAGATACTGGTTATTACTTTGAATACTTTTTATTTTTGCTCTTTAAGAGGTGTATCCTGGTTCTGCACAAAGACGTCAAATACTGGAATTAGCAGGGATAGATAATAAAGCAACTATGTTTACTATTCTTAAAGAAATAAAAGACAAGTTTTAAAACATTGAAAAAGTGACCAACAAACTTCCTGGGTACTTTTAACAACCGATTATACACAGCTAAAGAAAGAATTAGTAAAGTGGATGGTAGCTGAGAAAAAATGATCAATAACAAAACTCAGAGAGACAAAGAGTTGGAAAACATGAGAGACTGAAGTCATGGAGGCAGAGGAATAGGTGTGGAACACATTTAATATTATAAACTAATCAGTGGAAGTTACCACATTAACAGATTAGAGGACAAAATTCTTATCACCAACTTGTAAACAGGAAAAGCATTTAATAAATTTCAAAATTCATTCATGATAAAACCTCAAAATAGAAGAATGTCCTTAACCTGATAACAGGTATCTACAAAAAGATCTACCATACACATATTTTTTTTAAAAATATGCTTTTGTTAATTTTTTTTAGAGAGAAAGGAAGGGAGAGAGAGAGAAACATTGATGTGAGAGAGAAACATTGATCGGCTGCCTTCTGCATGCCCCCTACTGGGGATCGAGCCTGCAACCCGGGCATGTACCCTGACCAGGAATTGAACCAGGACCTCTCAGTGAATGGGACAGTGCTCAATCCACTGAGCCACACTGGCCAGGCTACGATGCACATCTTAATTGTGAAATATTAAAAGCTTTTCCTTTGAGATCAGGAACAGACAAAGATGTGTGAAACCCCACTTCCACTTAGTATTGTACTGGAGACTCTAGCCAGTACTATAAAGCAATAGAGAGAAAGAAAAAGCGAGAAGGAGAAGGAGAGGGTGGGAGAAAGACAAAGGGAAAGAAAGAAGAAAAAAGATTTATTTGTAGTCATTACAATGCTGCATAGAACCTCTGCAGGAATACACTGCAATACATGTGTCTACGAGGTAGTTGAAGGATGTTCGGGTTGTCTGCAGTGCCCGGCTGTTAGGAACAATACCGTAGGAACAGTCTTACTCATGTACCCATGTGGACATGTGCAAGAGCGTCTTCGGGGTACATCCCTAAGAACCTGTGGGCTGTCCACTTCACCAGCTTCTCTATATAATGCTAAACCATTCTTTGGTTTTCCTGACTTTCATTCCCAATTTGCATTCACATCAGCAGGCTGAGAGATCCTATTACTCCATAATCTCACCAACACTTGATATTAGAAGACTTTTTACCTTTGACAACTGGTCAGAAATAAAAAGTATGATTATATATCATCGGCACCCTTTACACATTTTTATTAGCCACTTAGATTTTCTCTTTTATGAAGTGACTTGAAATGTTTTCCCATTTTGTCTTATCTGCTTCCTACTGATATACAAGTCCTTTGACTTGTCTGGATCCTTATCCTTTAGTCATGTGTAAAGCAAATAAATATTTCCTCTCTCTCTCTCTCTCTCTTTCTGTTATGTGTCTTTCTTCTCTTAAAGGTGTCTTTTGATGGACATGAAATCAAATGTATCTATCCTTTCCTTGGTTAGTGCTTTCTGTATCTTAAAATAAATATCTTCCCTCCCTTCCATTAGGTTCTGAAAATATTCTCCTATATTATTTCCCTAAAGTTATGTAGTTTTGGTTTTATATATGTGCCTTTAATCCTTCTGGAACTGATTTTTATACTGTAAGTTATGAGAATGGGACTTCAGTTGTATTTTCTTCTTTATGGCTAGACATTTGTCCCACCACCACCTCCTGATTCTTTCCTGCTGACGTGAGATGCCTTATTTGTTCAACAGTTACCTCTATGAACTCATCTGTTTCAGGGTCCTTTAAGGGACTATAGATCTCTTTGTCTAACCATGTATCTATTTCCCTTAATATTTGATTCTTGAAGTTTCCCCTTTTCTCCATAGAGCGTTTACCAACTTTTTGTTAGCTTTATTCATACACAGTTCACAGTTTTAAGCTATTGCAATGGCATTTAAAAATTTTATATTTGTTACTAGTATACAGAAATATAATTAGTTAATATATATATTGATAATTTATTCAGCCACTTCATTAAATGTTCATTGATTCTAATAATTCACCTGTTGGTTGGAATCTCAGGACTATATTCTTTTGCCTTAAAACTATTGGTCAGATACAACTCACAGGGAGAAAATATTGGCAAGTCATATATCTAATAAGGGTCAGTATTCAGAATATATAAATAACTCTTACAACTCAACAGTAAAAAGACAATCCAGTTTAAAAGTTAGCAAAGGCATGGCTGGTGTGGCTCAGTGGTTGAGCGATGACCTATGCACCAAAAGGTCGCCAGTTTGATGCCCATTCAGGGCACATGCCCAGGTTGTGGGCCCGATCCCCAGTGAGGGGCATGCAGGAGGCAGCCAACCGATGTTCTCTCTCATCAGTGTTTCTATCTCTCTCTCTAAAATCAATAAAGAAAAACAAATTAAAAAAAAAAAAAAGTGGGCAAAGGATTTGGCTAGATATTTCCCTTAAAGAATATATGCAAAATGCTCAACGTCATTAATCACTGGGAAATGTAAATCAAAATCACACTCACTAGGATGGCAGTAATAAAAAAGACAGACAATAACAGGTGTCGTGGAGCATGTGGAAAAATTGGTGCTCTCATACGTTGCTGGTAGGATGGTAGAAACAGGGCAGCCACTTGGCAAACAGTTCGGAGGTTCCTCAAAAAGTTAAAACAGAGAGTTATCATACGACCCAGCAATTTCACTCCTCCGTGTATACCCAAGAGAATTGAAAACATAAGTTCACACAAAATCTTGTTTAGGTATGTTTGTGGCAGCATTATTCATAATAATTAAAAAGTGAAACAATCCAAATGTCCATCAGCTGATGAATAAACAAAATATGGTAGATCCATACAGTGGAATGTTAGTTAGTCATGAAAAAGACTGAAGTACTGATACATGTCATGACATGGATGAATCTTGAAAACATAATGATAAGTAAATGAAGCCAGACATCAAAGGTTATATATTGCATGAGTGCATTTATAGAGAATGTCCAGAAGCGGCAACTCTACACAGACAGAAAGTAGATTAGTATTTGTCAGGGGCTGGAGGGAACAGAGAAGACAGAATGATGGCTCCTGGGTGCAGAGTTTCTTTTTGGAGTGATGGAAATGTCCTGGAGCTAGAGAGTGATGACTCAGTGAACACACTAAAAGCCACTGAATTGTATCCTTTAAAAAGTTGATTTTTATGGCATGTGTATATATCTCAATTTCAAAAAAATCTGTCAGGAATATAATTTGTTATTTGTTTGTTTTTTAGATAAAGAAATACCCCTCCCAATTATAAAAATATAGGGCAAGTAAGCATTTTATTCTACCAGCAGAATGTGGTAAGATCTCTGTCTCTCAAGGGGCTTAGTGAGAGCTGCCTCAGCCTTGGTGGGCAGAGCCAACCCGGCAGGACAGATGATCCAACAGGTCAGAGAGTGGAAGTCCTAGGAGGGAAAGGACACCGTCTCTCTCCTCTTCCCTGAAAGTCCAGGTTAGGAGGTCACCCAGAGTGACGTATGAATAGAAGCAGTTTAGCTAAAGTCCTCTCCACTGAAAGACTGGCCTCTTGAAGAAATCAAGCATTTACTCATGATTCCCCCCAAACGAATGACTAACAATCAGATGCATAAGCCATTAAAAATATGGGTAGCACTCATCTTTCATGAACTGGGGTGGATGTTTAAACTGTTACAACTGTATCTTGCCTCTTCAGCTGTTGACTCTTCTCTCCCAGGGTGGGAAGACGACTTGTCTTGTGGTCCACAAGCACTGGCATGTACTTGTTCGGCATCGCAGCGGCGTTCGCCTTGGATTACTACAGCTTCATGATCATACGCTTTCTGCTTGCTATTGTGAGTTGTGTTTATTCATTTTGTTTGTTTGTTTGTTAATCCTCACCCAAGGATAGTTTTCCATTAACTTTTAGATGGAATGGAAGGGAGGTGGGGGGGGGGGGAAGAAACATCGATTGGTTGCCTCCTACCCAACCCCGACTGGGGCTAGGATCGAGCCTGCAACCCAGATACATGCCCTTAATTGAGAATAGAACATGCAACCCTTTGATCCAAGGGCCAACGCTCTAACCGCTGAGCCAAACTGGCCAGGGCGTGAGTTGTGTTCTTTAACCTCTTTAACTTGACTGCCGTGTTTTCACACTAAACCTTAACTCTCAGATGTGCTCATTGAGAATCTAGGGCGAGAGATCGAGTATTAACTTTGGTTCACTCCCTGGCACAAATTCTTTCTGTGGAATATTAATGCCCTCTGTTTAGAATGGAGCTCATTAAAATGAAAAATTGTTGTTTACTAGGCAGAAACTCTGTGTTTGACTCTATGCCTGGCACATGATCCACATTACACAATTACTAAAGCACTATTTTACTTCTGAGCAATTAATTATATTGGTCTCGCCAGGCCCTGCATGTTTGAGCCAAACAAACGGTTAGGGTGTATTGTTAAGAAAGTCACTTGTGTGTTGTGCAGTAAGAATGAAAGCAGGAAGGCATTAGGCCTTTATGTTATGAGGAGCAGGGGAGTCTAGTGGAAAAGGTATGAGTTGAAATGCAGCTTTGTCTATATTGGCTTCTTAGCAGTGTGACTGTGGGAAAACAGGTTATCATCCCTGAACTGTAGTCTCTGAACTGTAAGCTGTAGTACCTGCTTCACAGGGTTGGTGTCAGGAGTCAGTGAGATTAAAGGAAACATCTGTGGTACAGCACCTGGCAAGGAGTAGACACTCCGTACAATTGGGAATGTCACTGGAACGGGGCCAGCGAGTGAGGATGTGATTTCCATACTTGGTGAAGCTTTCAGACAGCTTCCAAATGGCCAGACAGCAGCAGAGATTCTGTTTGAAGGTCACTGATCAAGGATAATGAAGTGAAGTTTTTTTCTGCGGGGAGAGCTTGTAATCTTGCTGAGCACAGAGCAGCCCATCATCCCCTCTCACCAGGATGGATGATCCAGGGGTTCAGAAATGAACGTCCACAAGGAGTTTCAAAAGGGTGTAATTCGAATATTAGAGGATGAAGAGAGGCCTGTGGGGTGCTCTAGAATAATTTTGCAAAAATTAATTTCATGAGTTGTGTTATAAAAGTCAAATGTAAAATAATTTTGCAGGAAAAATTTTAATCCTTTTACCTCTTCCCTTGAAAAAAAAAGCTGTCATTTGATTCATTCCTTTTGTATTCTAAGAATGATCACACATTGCTATTACAACCCACATTTTGTTAAAGATGGGCCTATTGCCAAAATAAAAGTCTTTCCCCCCCGTTACTTAAAATGGTGGTAAGACACACATAACATAATTTTTTAAAAAGTACACCATGCTGTATGTATCTGAGATTTACTTTTCCACTTATGATAAAATTGCTAATATTCATCCATACATTTATTCATCTTAGATATCTGATCTTCTATATTGGTCTTCTAATTTTATATTTTTTCTCCTACTTTCTTTATCTTTGTCTTTTTATTTTATAAACTTTCTGAGATAATTCCAAAATTTTCCCTTCTGTATCTATCTTCTACTTCATCTAACCCCCCCTTTTATGTCGGTTATCATAATTTTTATTTCCAAATGTTTGTTTCTTTGTTCTTTGAATGCTTTTTTAAAATTTTATTTATATCTATCTATCTATCTATCTATCTATCTATCTATCCATCCATCTATCTATCTATCATCTATTTTTGTTACAGATGTTCTCCTTTTTTCTCCCATCAACACCCTCTTTCCCCTCCCTCCCCGCCCAATCTTCAGCTTTGTTGTCCATGTCCATTGGTTACGTGTACATGCATATAAGTTCTGTGGTTTATCTCTCCCCCCACCTCCTCTTCTGGGGATTGTCAGTCTATACCCTACTTCCATGTCTCTGGGACTACCCTGTTCTTCAGGCTCTTATGGTCATTATATTCCACAAATAAGTGAGATCATATGATATTTGTCTTTCTCTGCTTGGCTTGTTTCGCTTAGGATAATACTTTCCAGGTCTCTACATGTCGTCTTAAAGGATAAGAGATCTATCTTTCTTAATGGCTGCATACTACTCCATTGTGTATATACCACAGCTTTTTTATCCATTTGTCTAATGATGGACACTTGGGCTATTTCCAGATCTTAGCTATTGTGAATAGTGCTGCTATGAACATGGGGGTACATATATTCTTTCTGATTGGTGTTACAGGCTTCTTAGGGTATATTCCTAGAAGTGGGATCACTGGGTCCAATGGCAATTCAATTTTTAATTTTTTGAGGTAACACCATATTGTTTTCCATAGTGGCTGCACCAGTCTGCATTCCCACCAGCAGTGTACTAGAGTCCCTTTTTATCCACACCCTCATCAACACTTGTTGTTTGATGATTTGTTGATGGTGGCCATTCTGACAGGTGTGAGGTGATACCTCATTGTTGTTTTAATTTGCATCTCTCTGATGATTAGTGACATTGAGCATTTCTTCATATGTCTCCTAGCCATTTGTATGTCCTGTTTGGAGAGGTGTCTGTTTAGCTCCTCTGCCCATTTTTAAATTGGGTTCTTTGTCTTCCTTTTGTTGAGTTGTATGAGCACTCTATATATTTTGGAAATTAACCCCTCATCTGATGTACAATTGGCAATTATGCTCTTCCATACAACGGGTTGCCTTTCCATTTTGATGGTTGTTTCTTTTGCTGTGCAGAAGCTTTTCAGTTTGAAGTAGTCCCATGTGTTCATTTTTTCCTCTGTTTCTGTTGCCTTAGGTGATGTATCAGTGAAAATTCTGCTGCGTATGATTTCTGAAATTTTGTTGCCTATATTTTCTTCTAGGACTTTTATGGATTCCTGAGTCACATTTAAGTCTTTTATCCATTTTGAGTTTATTCTTGTGTATGGTGTAAGTTGATGGTCTAGTTTTATTTATTTTTTGCATGTAGCTGTCCAATTTTCCCAACACCATTTATTAAAGAGGCTCTCTTTACTTCATTGTATGCTCTTGCCACCTTTGTTGAATATTAATTGAGCATAATGTTTTGGGTCAATTTCTGGGTTCTTTGTTCTATTCCATTGATCTATGTGCCTGATCTTGTGCCGGTACCAGGCTTTTTTGATACAGTAGCTTAGTAGTATAACCTGATATGCAGTATTGTGATCCCTCCTACTTTGTTCTTCTTTTTCAAGATTGCTGTGGCTATTCAAGGTCTTTTTTGGTTCCATATAAACTTTTGAAGTACTTGTTCTAATTCTGTGAAGTATGCCGTTGGTATTTTGATGGGGATTGCATTGAATCTATAGATTGCTTTGGGTAGTATGGACATTTTAATGATGTTAATTCTGCCAATCGATGAACAAGGTATATGTTTCCACTTTTTTATATCTTCCTCCATTTCTTTTTTCAATGTCCTATAGTTTTCTGATAATAGGTCCTTTACTTCATTGGTTAAGTTTATTCCTACGTATCTTTTTTTTTTTAATCCTCACCCGAGGACATTTTTCCATTTTTTATTCAGATAGAGCAGGAGGGAGAGAGAGAGAGAGAGAGAGAGAAATCGATGTGAAATGTGAAAGGAACACATCGAGTGGCTGCCACCCACATGACCCAACCAGGGCCAGGGACAAACTGCAACCAAGGTACATGCCCTTAGCGGGAACCGAATCCGGGTCTCTCTGGACCACAGGCCAACGCTCTAACCTCTGAGCCAAACCGGCCAGGGCTATTCTTAGGTATCTTAATTTTTTTGCCACAATGGTAAATGGGATTTTCTTTTTTTTTTTTAGTTTCTCTTTCTGTGAGTTCATCATTGGTGTATAAGAATGCCATTGATTTCTTGACATTAATTTTGTATTCTGCTACTTTGCCAAATTCATTTATTAAGTCTAGTAGATTTTTGATGGAGTCTTTGGGGTTTTCTATGTATAATATCATGTCATCTGCGAGTAATGACAGTTTCACTACCTCCTTTCCAATTTGGACCCCTTTTATTTTTTCTTCATGTCTGATTGCTGTGGCTAAGACTTCCAGTACCATGTTAAATAAGAGTGACAAAAGTGGGCATTCCTGTCTTGTTTCTGTTCTTAAGGGAAATGCTTTTAGTTTTTGTCCATTGAGTATGATGTTGGCTATAGGCCTTTTTTTTTTTTCCTCACCCAAGGACATTCTTCCATTTTTTGTTCAGGTAGAACAAGAGGGAGAGAGAGGGAGAGAGAGAGAGAGAGAGAAACATCGACGTGAAAGGAACACATTGAGTGGCTGCCACCCACATGACCCACCCAACCAGGGCCGGGGACAAACTGCAACCAAGGCACATGCCCTTAGCAGAAACCAAACCCAGGTCACACTGGACCGCAGGCCAATGCTCTAACCGCTGAGCCAAACCGGCAAGGGCTATAGGTCTTTCATATATGGTCTTTATTATGTTAAGATATGATCGTTCTATTCCCAAATTACTGAGCTTTTTTATCAGAAATTGGTGCTGGATTTTGTTGAGTGCTTTTTCAGCATCTATTGATGTGATCGTATGATTTTTATCTTTCATTTTGTTTATGTGGTGTATCACATTTATTAATTTGTGAATAATGTACCAGCCTTGCATCTGTGGGATGAATCCCACTTGATTATGGTGAATAATTTTTGATGTATTGCTGAATCCGATTTGCTAGTATTTTGTTCAGGATTTTGGCATCTATGTTCATCAGGTATATTGGCCTGTAGTTTTCTTTCTTTGTAGTGTGTTTTTCTGGTTTTGGAATTAGAATTATGCTGGCCTCACAAAATGATTTTGGAAGTTTTCCTTTTTCTTAAATTTTTTGAAATAGTTTGAGGACAATAGGTGTTAATTCTTCTTTGAGTGTTTGGTAAAACTCCCTCGTGAAACCA